TATCTGCTTTGCATGTTGCTAGTCTCATCGAAGAGGTTAGCAGTACTGCCCTTACGTTCATCAGCGTCAAATTGGTAAGAAGTAAATACGTATTTTAGGCAGGATTTCCAGCCGGTGTAGTCAACCTAATTCCTGGATATGGACCAACAGCTGGTCACGCTATTTCTGCCCATAAGGATGTGGATAAGATTGCATTTACCGGATCTACTGAAATCGGGAGGGTTGTGATGAAAGCAGCAGCGGAAAGTAATATCAAAAAAGTTTCTCTCGAATTGGGCGGAAAGAGTCCCAATATTATATTTGGAGATGCTGATTGTGAGTTTTGGTTTAGTACAATTTAGCAAAATATATGCTAGTCAATTTTATGACGAAATCTAGGGATTAAAAAGGGCTATTCATATTCGAATAGGCAACACTTGACAGAATTGAGCAGATGCTGAAAACAGCTCATAGAATATATGAAAAATGCCATAAAAATTGCAGAAAGCTTGGTATCTGTTAAATCAGTGAAGAACAGTCTTATAGAACGGGGTTTTGACCTTATTTGATGTAGCAATCCCCAAATCTTCTTTGTAGTGGACTATGCAGTGCAACAAGCTCATCATGGCCTATTCTTCAATCAAGGACAATGCTGCTGTGCTGGCTCGCGAGTGTTTGTTGAAGGAAAGGTAAGTACATTTTTCAAGCGTATTATTTATTCCCTAAAGAAAATGTCCGTAGGTTTACGATGAATTCGTAGCCAAATCTAAAGCTTTGGCGGAAAAGCGAGTACTTGGTGATCCATTTGACTTGAAAACTGAACAGGGACCTCAGGTAAATTGAGATTCGGATTTTCCTGGTATTTTGTAGCCTAGTTGTTTGCTTAGATAGACCAAGATCAAATGAAGACGATTGAGCGTTATGTGAATATTGGTAAGAAGGAAGGAGCACAGCTTGTTACTGGTACGTCAATGTCTATTTAATTTATTTGTAATTGTTTTTTTAGTTGTTCTATATCCTATCACTTAATAAAACTAAGCAGTCATTGTCACTGACTACCGCATGAAATCCCATTATTCAATTTCTTATGATTTTCTAAAAAAAGGTTTTGAGGTTTTTGTCTGATCCTATCTCGAAAACTATTTTTATTTCTTCGGAAATCCTATCTTTTAGGAGGCAAATCATGGGGCAATAAGGGTTTCTTCTATGAGCCGACAATCTTTGCCAACGTAAAAGATCAG